TCACAAAGCTTGAACACATTCAGAGGGAAAGAAAGTTTACGTAAGACAAAACAGATGTTTAATGAACTCGAGTAATCTGACAGGCAAGTTTTGGTCTTTCCAGAAGACTGCCACAAAAAGGAAGCAACTATTTTCTTCCAGACACAATAAAGAGGTCTTCGGTTTGGTTTTAATTAAAGAGACCGGATCCTAACTCAAAGAAGAATCCTAATCTCCTGCGATATACTTTGATCTCACCTTTGATGCTAATGAGAAAGAACCTCTGACTTTCTATTTAGTATCAGCAGTTATCATTCCAGTCATATCAGTGTCATACACCTGAAGAGTAGGATATGATCAGTGACAAACATCATGTCAGTCAGGGTTAAACCTGGTCTGAGTCACCGAATCACCCTACAGCAGTCTAACATGAGAAGTAGTCATGTCCTCAGCGTTACCTAGAAAGGAACAACATTGACTCCTTCTGCTTAGAAGTTTTAAAATAGATTATTTCTAGCACTGAAACAACTATAAAAGTAGATACAATTTAAATGGCCTAATCACTAAACATTAAAGGGTTTTCTTCTCCAGAACAATCTGCAGCAGATGCAACCATCAGTTATTTTTACTATTCCTTAAAAACTGTGTTTCTTTTTCACTTAAACTAGTTTGAATCTACAGAGGAGACGGTATTAGAACAAACGTAAGAAAATCCCTAAGTTTAACTATGATTTTATGGAATTGATCCCATTCTCTTTCAACTAACTTTGATGGGACTGGTAGAAACAAAACCAGAGCAAAATCAAGCAGAACTGTACACCTCCACCCTCTCTTGTATAGTACACAACTTCTATTTGGCCGTGTTGGGTTTTGCAAGTCTTACGGTAGGAGTTGTCAACCTTTCAAAATGCCCAAGATCTATCTATACGATTATCATTATGCGTACAAGGGTGAAAAAAAATGTTCTTCCTCCTTCACATTAGCCATTTTAGCTAAAGCTGTTGTCCACTTACCTACCAGAATGGGACTGTATTTGCTCATTCTAGCACATAGTCATAACTCAGCCAAACCCTAGCTAAAACAGACTGCTGTATTTTGGACCTCTGCAGTCTTCAGTCAGCATACGTAACTAATTTTTCAGTAAATACAGACAAACTGGAAATTAGAAACAAAAAGCAAGAGACAAAAATCTCTTCCACACTTGCACGTAATCCCTCCACAAAGCTAAAACATCACCAACGGCTGCAAGTGCTGAATGATCATGAACTTTCAGTTCATGGCTTTATTTCCAGGCACTAATCACCTGCAACTGCAGCTGAAGCCAGCTCTTGTCTGAAAGTTCACAACAAGACTCAAACTAAAGGTACAGTCATAAAAAGCTGAGTAACTTAAAAGGCGGAAGGATATTCTACATAATTTATCTCCTCACAGCAGAATAGACAAAAATGTGCTCAAAAGGGTATTTGATGAATTTCATACTTCCCTTTTATGTTAAAGGCAGGAAATGCCGACTGAAAGTAATACAATCTTTTTTGAAAGCAGTAGTGCCTACCTTCCCCCTGCCTCCCCAGGCATCTGTATGTGCTTGAAAAGAGTCATGCAACCAGCAAACTGGACATGCGTAAAAGATTTAGGATCATCTATTCAAGCTTTCGCTGGCTTTTTGGAATATAGGAATGTTTGAAAATTCCACAATGAAACATTATTTGCTAACAGCAAAGTTAGATGTGTACCCTTCTTTTTACAATACTGCATCTGCAGAAGTTGATGAACAGGCCAGCACTGTGTTTTCCGTTTTTCAAGTCTCCCATACAAACTCTCTCCACACACTTTACGGATTCCTTTCCTGGCAAAAAATACCATTTACAGGCCTATATGAAGCCATATGGATCTCTCTTTCTTTTTTCGTTTATGAGAAGGTAATACAATAAGCCAAACAGTGCAATTATATAGCATCAAAACACTAACACAAACAGAATCAATTTTCTTTTATAAGGACAAATGACACCAGAGCTACTTCACTTTTAAACAACCCAAAGAGCAGCAGGACTTGGGGGGGAAGGGGAAGGAGGGGAAAGGGAAGGAGTGAAAGTAGGTCATGTTTTTCTCCGGTTTTGTTATATACAGACCAGACACAGAAATCCAAAGGATTTTGCTCTAATAAAAACTATTCATCTGCACATGATGGGAGAGGAAAAAAAATACAGAAAGAAAGCAAAACCCAACGAACAAAAAACCTAACATCCTCCCCAGTCCCCAAAACCAAAACCACCACAGAACAAAACAAAAACAAACCCAACATCACTCAGATAAGATCTTAACCCATTTTTAGCTAAGGGAGACCCGGGTGATGGTGAACCTGTTAACAGAAGAAATTGTAGGAGTAACAAGGAAGAAGGACTAGACAAATGGACAGTCCCAACTACTTCATGGCTTCTCCCATACTCAGGAGGAAGTCATACCTGTATCTGTTTCTACCTATGCTCAGACTTCATGAACAAATAATAAACTGGCATGACTTAAACTTCACATTGTCCTACAAGACACTGTACAAGCAGCAATAAAACCACTCTAAGATCGGCCCAGTTGCTAACAGAGAAAAGATCATCCTGTAAAATTCCTGCAACTGTAGGGAACACAAACCCTTCTCAGTTTATACTTCCATCATATCTGGGAGGTTGTTTTCATAACTATGGCACCTCACGTCTTGGAAAGAGTAGTTGAGACCTTCAACTATGCAAAAAGCCTTTAATTCTCCACTGAAAAGCAAGCCCACAGGTGTGCTTAGGCATGTATGTTTAACATCCTCTGCCCACAGCCACACTTGCTGCTCCCAAAATGTTTTGTTGAAATGGAGTAATTTTCTTTTTCTGTGTATATTGCACCCATCTGGCTAAAACCAGCAAGCTTATATATGGGAACATGGGTTTTCCAACATGAATAAACATCTCAATTTTGATGTATTAGAAATTTTTCAGCTTTGTGAGATGGGACTATTAAAAAAAACACCTTTTAGAGCAGGCTGAAAATTATGTGTATTGTTCCATTTGACTATGCACACCTTAAAGACAAAATGTTTTAGGAAGCTACACTAAGAGACTTCATAATCTAAGCATCCTGAAAATTTCACCGTAAGATGTGACTTTTAGACCAACTAGGTCTTCCTTGAATGGAGGCAGTTATGAAACAAAAGCCTCAGAAAATAATCATGTTGCAGTGATGTGAAGAGAGAGTTGTTTAAACCCAGGTCTTCCAGGTGTTCCTGAAGTTGGAAAACAAAAAGTAATGTTGATCTCTTCTAATACTGAAGAGCAAAATAATACTGTTTTCTCAAACTCCCAGAAGCAAAGCTGGAGTTATATGGATGCACTGCTTCCGCACATTACTTATGCTTGCTTCTAAACAATTTAATGACAGGCACCTGATTTCAAAGTGGTTCCTACTAAGTGTTTGTTAAATAGAATTATTAACTCTTATAAACTGCATGTCATTTCCAAAGTATGGTGAAGTAGCAGCTGTGGAGAGGAAAAAAGGTTGTCTCTGGTATAATAGGGATATTTGTACCATGTAAGATAAGCAGCACAACTTTCAGTAGCATTTGATAATTTAAATTAGAACTACACTTTTGAACAGCAATGATTACCTAAAGACTGCTAATTTTAGTCCTTTTGCTAAGGATATTTGATAGGCATTCTGAAGAGCACAAAAGCATAATAAGTTGCTACATACATGAGCATTTCACTTGATGACAGTTCAGTTCACACATACCTGCCTGTCCAGAGAACTAACTTTCTACTACAACAAAATCTGAGACTGAACACACAGTTGTACTTGCATCACAAACAGCAGCAGAGAGCAGTCCAAAAAAACATGTGCATATACATACACAAAGCAGACAAACAAAACCTTATAAACAGGTAACATTTTTTACTTTTTTTAAATTAGGAGTTTCCTAATCAGAATTCCTTCATCTTTAATATAGGGATAACATTTCCAGTGACCGTAAGTGTTTTCATAGTGCACTATATGTGTAAGAACCATGTATCTCACTGGTAATCCTCCATATCACAGAAGAGAAAACTGAACCAAAGAAGGCATGGAAGTTACCATAGCTACATAAAATGCAAGTTACAAAGGATGAAATTTGAACTCGGGTTTCCAGTTTCCTATTCACTAAACTCTGAGGACTTTGAAAAACATACATTCCAGTACACTTTCATATGTGCAGCAATGTTCACCAACGTTACACGTTAAGCATGGCGTGTTAAAATCATCAGAGGTTTTAACAGCTAGGTAGTGTAAAACAGAATTGTTCTTTGCATCAAAACTAACTCAAACTGAGGTGTCCCTGCCTATAGCAGGGGGGTTGGAACTAGATGATGCTAAGGTCCTTTCCAACCCTAACCAATCTATGATTCTATGATTATGACCACACACACAAAAGCAGTAGTAACTCTGTTTCCTTGGCATGTACAAACCTAGATTAATTTCAGTGTGGTGTAGAGAAACTTTAGATGAGATTGTTTTGATTCTTCCCTTGCACTCAATGTGTGTGACAGCACTTGGTGCCTGTAAGAGTAATACAAATTAGTGAAGTTTCAGTTTGATTTCAAGTTATTGGCCTAAGGACTTGCCAGAGGAAAAGAAAAAAAACCCAGTACAGATCTATGGATGGTTTACTGGATCAAGAGCAAAACAGCACCCAGGAAACACACCAACTGTTCAGAAAATAGAGGAAACCACTGATGTAATACTGGAATTAAAAAAACCACCAAGAACTTGCACATCTTCTGAAGCTGTTCAAACAGAATAAGTAACTGTAATTTACAGTTCACTTCACTGTTTTATGTTATTCTATTGCACCATCATCAATATAATGCTGATGTAACAAGACATTTTCTCCACAACATGAATTCAACAGCTAAAGGATCACAGTTGAAATAAGAAGTGAACTGGTTTGAAAACACGTGTTTTTAGAAACACCTGAATAATCTTTAGCCACCCAACCTCCACGTCCTTACCGGAATGTCAAAAGTTTCTTGTGTGTCATCCAGCATCTGAATTTTGATGGAGACGAGTTTTCCTGGAGGTGTCATAGGTGGTTTCTGTCCATGCTCCAACGTACTGATCCCAGCATTTTCCTGAGCTCCTAACCGGGATCCTGCTGTTGGTCTCTGCTCTGTTTCACCCATGATTAGGGAAACACGTTTCTTATATCTGATAAAAGAATAAGGGCAAAGAAGACCATATAAATAAGAGGCTTCGCACATAAGCATTATGGTATATATACTTACAGCTAATAATCCATATGATCATCAACACAAAGTAATAATCATCGTGATTTTATTCTTTCCAATGTCTCATACGAAGGCAAGAAAACCAGGCAAACTTTGTAGTTAAGAAAAAAATTAAATACACAGGCTCATCACTTGCTGGTGGTAAGGCTGATAGACTGGCACCATGGGAAAATACTCCTTTTCTCCTGGAAAAGGAGAGACCACACTGGAAACAGAGCACGACAGAACACAGATTTCAATGAATTATGCTAACTGTTGTGTATTTACGGATGAGGAAGGTGAGGAAAGCAGCTGGGACAACTCACCACTTGCTGACCATCATTCCCTTCTGGCTATAATCAGCATTTTTTCCATCGGTCCTTCCAGCATTCCCTGGCCCTTTGCAGCTGCCACCTTGCCTAAGGTTCTGCGATGCAGGGATACAAGATGACCCCAATAACACGGCCTAAATATTTTGTGCCGTTTGGGGACCAGTATTGCTCTAGCACCTGGAGCCCAGCTTGATCCCACTGACAGACCGAGGACTGTCAGGATGTGCTACTGGGAAGGCCAGAAAAAGCCAGAGCAGTAACATGGGTTGGGAAAAGCATGGGAAATCTGATTTCCCACGGAGCCCTGGAAGCGGGAAGGTAACACCAAGGAACACACCTTCCTTGCTGTCCTAGCGGAAGACTACACCTGCACCAGCTCCCTGAATGCGAGTGTCTGCTTCATATCCATGGAAAGCAACCTCAGAAACCAGCATGCTAATTTTGTTCCCATGCAGCTTCTGCACCACACTATACCAGACATTTCTGCTAAATAATTACTCTATCCTAAAACGGGAGCAGAGCTGCAATGGTGGTTCAGTGTCATTTTTCATTAACTGGCACAATTTTGAACCTTCTTTTTTAATTCAAGGACCATGAGTTTTACTTGTCAAACATTACACATCAAACCAGAATCTTCACTTCCCCACCCCCGGTCTTTTGACATTCTGGCTGGGTTTCTGATGAAACCCACTGCTACTGCCTATTTATCTTTCTTGGTAATTGCATTTTCATTCTGCATGACTTTTATATGCTGATCAATGACCATTAAAAAAATGAAACCATGTAGCATACAGAAAGAATGGAAATTTAACCTTCCAGGTGAACAGAGGCACAAGAAGAGTACTGCCAGTTACTGACTGGCCTTAACCCTGAAGTTACTATTGAGAAGCCTATGGGAAAAAGAGGAAGCACAAAATAGCCTACCTATTAGTGAATCCATCACAAGTTCTACAGTACACTATAAAGAACAGTGTCAGGTGATAAGACACCAGTTCCCTCCACAAGGACAGAATAAAACCAGCCCTGACTTGAGAAGAATATACTGTTACTACACATCATTCTTCCACGTTCTGACTAATCCGTTCGCACAGATTTTTTACACAGCAAGAAGCGTGGACTAAAAAATTTTACAACAGCACTTTCACTAAAAGAAGTGTTAGCTGAGAAGGAAGGGAATGAAAAATTAGGGATCACACACTTCTACACATCAGCTCAACAGGTACAAGTGAAGGAGAACAAAAAACCATAGGCAAACGTTGCCACAAACTGGCACTATTCTATCCATCAAGGCTGAAGAGATACTAATGAAACCTACTCAAGTGCATGCCAAACACTACCAGAGAGGTAAATTTTCCTCCATTGGCATTGTAATTTAAAAATGTAAAAGGAATCAATTAAATTTATTTTAATTTTTTAAATTAATTGAATTAAATCTTTTCATGAGACAGTAAGTGCCAACAAGAAATCTGCAGTTGGAGGCAGGAACTCCAGAAGAAAAGACATCGAACTCTATATAGCAAGACTCCAGGCTTATTTACAAATGAATATGATTTTCCTGCATGTAAAGTACACAGGAACATTTAAAAAGGTAACACATGCACCCAGTCTGGAAGTACCACTACACACAAAGATACTGGTCCACGTCCTTATTAATTCAAAAGCTGTTTTAAGAGATCTGAAGTGACCACATCCCACAGACAGCACCAACACAGCAGAAAGGACCTCTACAATTTCTGTGTTACTACAGCAGTTCTTGGCTAGGTACAGACATTTAAAGTGGATGAAGAGGAAATCTGTTCTTTCCGTTAAATCCTAAACATAGGAATCAATCCAATCAGTTCAAGGGATACCATTAAATAATAACACAAGGAAATATTACAGAGCTTGAATGCTTCTATAAATGTTCTTCTGACTGGATGATCTAGTGGCCCACACACACATTTGGACAGGCCTTAGTGAAACTTAGCGAAACAAGGGAAAAAGACCCAAATTTAGGAGCCAAAAACATCATGGAGGAAAGGTACAAGCCAAACCACTCCACACATATAGCTGAGAGGTTTTTTATTAACAGTCAGTAATATTGAAACTCTTGTAATGATATATATCGAACACACACGCACACTTCCCTTTGGAAGCAAAGATCTGTGGAGTATTGGCCTCCCTCATCATATGCATCTGCTACTTACAAAATTAAAAGCAGACCTTTCCTTTTTTAATCTGTATGTATATCTAAACATCAGTATGGTGCAGTGGACATTATTTCAGTTGGGGTTTTTTTGTGTATGACACTAGTCTCACTATGGTGCTGTCATAACATCATCATAAAAGCTTTATTATGCCTTTATGTAAGAGGTCTAAAAATTACTAGAATTGTCCCCTCTAAAATAATGCAGGGCACTGGTAAAGCTGCATACCTTTCTCTAAATCACTTTGAATCTAGAAGATAGCGAACTAAGGTCATACAACGCAACAGGAGAGTATTAAGCAAATATTGAGGAAACCTGGGGGGATTAGGATACCTAACATCTGTCACATGAGGACAAGGATCAAGTTTGGACAGAGGATGGAGAATTTTAAAGAGCCTCTAATAGGAAGACGAAGTTGATTAATTGGGGAGGTTATTATCATAGAATCACAGAATGGTTCAGGTTGTAAAGGACCTTAAAGAATCCAATCCCCCTGCAACGGGCAGGGACACCTTCCACTAGAGCAGGGTGCTCCAAGCCCCGTCCAGCCTGGCCTTGAACACTGCCAGGAATGAGGCAGCCACAACTTCTCTGGGCAGCCTGTGCCAGCGTCTCGCTGCCCTCACAATAAAGAGCTTCTTCATTATAGTTAATTTAAATCTAGCCTCTTATTAACAGAGAAGAAACAGCAGTGGCCACCAGACTTCAACACATGCAGCTCTAAGCAAAACATAAATGAAGGTAGACAACCTGTACAGAAGCAGCGAGAGCAGCAAATAAAAAGGACTCATCTGAACACTGAAAATTATGAGTTTCTGTCTGCTCTTTTTGACAGCTGGTAAAATGCAGGCCAAGATCACATCTATCATTTCTGTTGCAGATTTGTGGGGTGTCAGTGCCTTTCTCAGTAGTGCTGTAGCATCTGCAAAGATGCAGACACACCATCTGCAGAGACCTAACCTGCATCCTGACCTGTGTGAGAGAAGTTACCCAAGAGAGCAGAGCTGCCCGCAGAGGAGCCTTGGCACCTTCTGCTCCTTCCCAGCTCCAACCCTTGCAGTCCTGACTGATGCTGTGCATTGACTCTCAACCTCCTTCAATGCACTGCTCCAATCCATAAGAAAATGGCTCGGTGTCTTGTTCTTTGCTGGATAAGCAAATTACATTGGCCTCACAGCAGGCTGGCAAACCCAAGGCCAGGGTGAGCTCAGCCCAGTCAGCTGCTGGCAGCCACTAGACTGACTCAAGCCATCTCACCTAACTGGTACACAAAGCTACAACTGCCATTAGATAGATTAGTAAACCTGTTCTTGTCCTAATCATGTGTTAACAATCCTTTTACACAGATACTGAATGCTTAGATGAAAATTTTAAATTCCATAGATACTTATGCAGTAGCTGGATAAAGGCCATGATGTGGTTCAGCATAAAGCTGTTTTAGTCCTCCATGTTCAAAACAGGCAACTTTTATAGCATTGGAAAGGCACAGGCCAATTAAAATTTCCATGTATTTTTCTTGGGCAGGATGAAGAAAACAAACTGACTTAGTGTAAAGTGAACTAGGAGTATAAACAGCACTTTGGGAGGGAAGGGGGGAATGGGAAAAAAGGGTTACAAAAATTACAAAGTACTAAGGAAAAGAGAAGCAATAATCCACTGTTAGAAATGTGAGCAGAACTCACACAGAATAGATGCTAATCTGATCCATTAACTGCTCTGCTTTCCTAGATCAGACCACGAGGTCTGGACATTTGATGCAAGAGTTACCTGAAGCCTGACGACTCCTGTTATAAGGGAAGAACAGTAGCAGGTATTTAGGCTTTTTCCACTTCTTTTGCTTTGCTTAAACACATTGTCGCAGCATGAAACAGAAGGCAGCATACTGTTCACTATACTCCTTTCAAAGGTGGGGAAGCCTGAGGCACAGTGGGATGATGTAAGTCGCCCGTAAAGTCACTGAGCAGACCAGCCACAGAGCTAAAGCTGCAGTCAGGGCCTCTCAGTCGCTGGCCCAGCACCGTGTCCCAAATCATATGGAATGAAACATTTGAAAGAGATTAAAAAGTAACTGATGTAACACCAGGTGAGACAACTCAAACCAACTCAAGGGCTTACAAACCATCGTTAAGATCTAAGAAGGCATCAGAGGACAACCAGAAAAGAACAATTCAATCCAGATATTCTGAAGGATAATGAACATGAAGCAGCAAGGAGAAAGAAGGGCAAACTTTTTGCACATGCTGTTAACTCTCAGCTTCTTGTAAAACTTTGGGAGAACCTCAGCTGTGGAGAGGACTACGGTGAATACTCTAGCTAACACTCCTGTCCGGTAGTCATCTTCAGTTCTAAGCACTTTCATTTTTACAGGAAAACGTAATACTTGGCAAAATAGAGTTACTTTAAGGAATCACAGTAAATAAGTT